CGCGTCTCCGTGAAAGGCAGGACCTGGCTTCCCTCCGGAGAGGATGCAGAGGAGGCGGGCGGGGCCAGAGCCAGCGCCTCCGTTCCTCGCCTCGCCCTCTCCTCCCCTCCCCGGGAAGTCGCCCCTTTCCCGTCTGGGGCGCTGAGGCAGGGGCGGGAAGGACTCAGGGAGGTGGTGCGGCGTCGGGAGGGGCCGAGCTGGAACCATGGCTCTTTGCTGTGGAAGGGGCGCACCTGGCCGTCCTGGGCGTGGAAAGGAGAGGTGAAGGGCAGTCTCCGTCCCGCACCCTTTTTTGTTGCGGAAGGCTCCTCTGCTCTTTCTGGAGGTCTCAGAGCGACCCCTGCCTGAGACCCATCTTTCCAGCTCCCCGCGGTTTGAGATTCGGAACTGTGTCCTCTGTGATTTTGTTCCCTGCCTCTGGGTCCTGAGCTGGGGTTGGATGGACATGAATGAAATTAAATATATCACTACTATAGATTCTCCCGTCCAGCTCTCCTGTCCCTGTTGACTAAAATAGCAGGGGGGTGACCAGAAGCTAGGGGGAGGAGCTGGGAGCCCGTTCCCCGGGCAGGGTGTGAGCTCTGTGTCCTGGTGGTCTTGGGGTGACCCCCCGCACGACATGTCACCAGCAGTTGGGTGACATCCACCAAATGGCTCGTGGGCGGGAGCCCTGAAGGAGCTGGAGCCAGCGTCTTCGTCAGGCTGCCAGCAGATAGCTTGCGGGCTCCGGCTGTCACAGCCCTGGGCCGAGGGTGCAACACCAGTGTCAGGGACCGCAGGGAGGACCGCAGGGCAGGGCTTGGCTGTGCTGCCTCACCCGGAGGGCATGGTGTCTGATTTCTCAGCCACCCGGCCACTCACTTTCCTGCTTCCCCAGTCTGGCCGGTGGCCACTGGTCACCTCCCATAAACCTGAAGCGTCAGTTTAGTTAGAGGTGGACACCATGCAGCCCTTGGGTTGGATTTTTGAACTTTGGAGTGCTGTACTCTCTGACTTCTCGCAGCCCAGGTGCTCTAGCAGGGACCTGTGTTGTCCCCAGAGAGCCCTTTCCCCGGGTGGGTCCAAACGTGTCCTCTGGCCACCCCCTTGTGCCGTTCCCCCGGGTGGCTGGGGAGTCTCCCGTGTTGCTGCCGACCCCTGACCTTCCCTTTCCCTGCCCTCCCGCGCCCTCACCTCGCCTGTGCTGGCCCTGCAGGTGCTGCCCACCAACCCGGAGGAGAGCTGGCAGGTGTACAGCTCTGCCCAGGACAGCGAGGGCAGGTGTATCTGCACAGTGGTCGCTCCCCAGCAGACCATGTGTTCACGGGATGCCCGCACAAAACAGCTGAGGCAGCTACTGGAGAAGGTGAGTCCGTGCCGGGGGTGTGTGTGTGTGTGTGTGTGTGCGCGCGCGCGTGCACGCGCGGGCATGCGTGCATTCATGCCGGCCCCAGGGCTGGGCCAGCCCGCCAGTTCCATCCCTGACCTCTCCCGGCACTGCCCCACCAAAATAGTTGTGAATGAGAATGAGTGGATGAATGGGCGATGGGCAGACAGATGCGTGGGTGCAGATGCCCAGGGTGGCCTGGGAGGAGATGCGAGTGACCCAGAGTAGCCCCAGGCAGGGAGCCTGGACTCAGGGCTCCTCTGCTACACTCGTAACCCCCAGTCCAAGGCTCAGAACCACCATGAGGGGCAGCCTGTCGGGGTCGGGGATGCTTGGCTTCGCGGGTCTGACGTGCTGGGGCCGTCGGTTGGGGGTTCAGCACCTTGGACGCCTTCGCGAGGAAGGGCCGGGGTCACCTCATCATCTGCTGGGACAGCTTTGTCGCTGGCACACACGCCGTTCCAGCACTTCCCTTAATCTTCACGGCAGTGGGGTGGGAATGGGGTGAGGTAGTCGCTGTTTCCAGGAGGGAAGCTGGGGCCCAAGAGAGTACTGGCTGGCCTGGGCCGAGCAGCTGGGTTGCAGGGGAGTCATCCCCCGAGTGGGCCACACCACACCCACGCACCGGCGAAGCCGCTACATGGCCTGCAGATCGGCCTGGGACTTTCCACGTGGACGTCAGCACAGGGGTCCAAGAGGAGGTCTGTGAGGGCTGGGGACCCTGTGTGACTCAGATTCCTGCTCTGCACCCCTTCACACGGGAAGGGGCAGCCAGTGGAGGACAGCCACCCCTCCTGGAACCTGGGCCCAGTCCCCTCCCTCCCTGCCCCCAGCTCACCCAGGAGTCCTCCATGCTGCGGAACAAGTGGGACCCTTGTGGGCTCAGCTTCCGCAGCTGTCAAGACGGGGTGGCCAGAGTCCCACAGGCTGCGGTGTTGGGTCTTGTGCCTCTTGCCCCTGGAGGGTGTGGCCTGGTCTCCTGGGGCTGGTGGAACCCTCCCTGGTTGCCAAGGGGCAAGGTGTATTTTGTTTTTCTCTGCTATCTTTAGCCACTTGAATAAATCACTTACAGAGTTAAAGAAAAATGCATTTGAGGGACCCCACAAACACTTATTACACCAAACCAGAGGGGGGGGCCCTAATTTGGCTGTGAATTATTCAGATGCAGGAGCAGGCTGCAGGGTGGGGCACGGGGCTGGGGCCCCTGGGGGAGGCTGGTGGCTGGGAAATGGGTTCCAAAAAGCCCCAGAGCCCCTGGGAATGAGGCTGAGCTTTCCTTTCTGCCTACGCAGGCCACAGCTACTGCTTAAAAATTTAAAGCCCTATTTTGTGCGTGCGTGAGGGCACTCTATTTTCGGCAGCACAAGCCATTGGCTGGAAGAGAGGCCACCTCCTTAGCGGCCGTGTGCTGAAAGGGCCCAGTGGGCTATGGCCTGAGCAACTGCTCTGCCCTCCCTCCTCCTCTCCTCTGGGGCCTGTGGGGGGCCGGGCAGGCCGGCCTGGGGGCCTCAGCAGGAGGAGCCCCACCCAGTCTTGGCTTTATCGCCTGGCTTTGTGGGAGGCCCCCTGGGTGGGCCCCCAGGGTCTGGGGTGCCAGCCTGGAGCCGGCAGCCTTGGGTGGCAGGTGGGACTGAGCTCAGGAAGAGTTTTGGCTCTGAGTTGAGAGGCCAGGTTCTGGCACCCATCCCCCTGCTTTGACTTGGCTGTGTGTGGCTTAGCTCATCAGCGCCCAGTCTCAGGGTGCAGAACAAGTCTGAACAAAGGCCTCCTGGGGCTTTGCAGAGGTCATGGGGCTTTGTAGACACAGGCTCTGCCCAGCGCCCAGGCATGTGCTCAGAGGGAGCAGCAGTTACTCATCCCTGCAGGCTGGATGTGCAGGCCGGGTGTCCCCTCCCGCTCCTTAGCACCTGCTGCCACACTGGCTGTGGTGCAAAGCAGCGTGGCTTTGTGACCTTGAGCATTCCTCGGCTTCTCGAGGACACATCCTGGAAGAAACAGGACTTGTGGGCCCCCGGAAGGGCTGTGCTCAGTGCAGTGGTGACCCTGGGCTCCTTTAGCCAAGGCCTCTCGGGGTGTGGCCAGGAGGCATATGATTGGCTGAGAAGAACTTCCTTGAAGGCAGCCGGGTAGCTTGGCATCTTTAATGTTTGTTTTGAAATTGAAAGTCTCGTCTTTAAAGTCTGAAATGTGGTAAAAGTAGCGGGAAGCCCACTGTGCGGTGTGTGGCCTCCTGACAGCCAGGTGAGCTGGGCATGCTCTGCCCTGGCTCTTGGGGTCCTGGCCCCTGCTCCTTCTCCTTGGGAGGGGGTGGGCAAATGGTCCTGATCGGAGCTGCCTGGGGGGTGACAGATGTGGGTGGGGCTCAGCTCCCCAAGGGTTCTTGTTCTACAAGGGAGACAGACAGATGTGAGGCTTGGGCATGGGGGAGGACTTTCAGGATGAAGCAAAACACCCAACTTCACACCTTCTCCCCAGAAGTGCTGAGGCTCTTGAGAGACAGCAAGCCAGGTGAGGGGTGGGCCGGAAGCACAAAGCAGCAGACAATTATATTCCCATTTCTATAGACGTTCTAATGAGAAGAGGGTGGGCTCCAAGTCACCTCCGCACTGTGCCTTACAAACCTGAAGTTTTGAAGTGAATCGGTGTACTCACTTCCAAAGAACGGGCCATAAAAATCCCATGCATTCTTCAAGTGCTGAGATCAGCAGTGTTTTGTCTCTCTCCTACTGAGAAGGCTTTTGGTTGCTCTCTTTTAATATTACTTTAAGATTATTTCGGAGAGGTGGAAACCTTGCCGTCGTGTGTCTGGTCACTGACCAGGCAGCCATGGACGGAGTGCTTGTGCTCCTAGAGGGGAGCATTTTAAATCCAGCGAGGGCGGAGCTGGAGACTTGCTGTTGTGGAGGTGCAGTCTGTCTTCCTCAGTAATTGGATTAGATTCAGAAAACGCCCCCCACCTCTGCAGCCCAGGGCTTCCTTGCTCTGCAGCACATTTGCCCAGAGCCACAGGCCGGCTGCCTGCAAATAAAATGCTCTGGCAGGTGGCTGCACGAAAACTGTTTTCCTTTTAAGCTCTCTGGAACCCTGTTGAATATTAAAGTCCCATCTTGAGGCGAGACTCAATTCAGATCTGCCTGTAAAGATGTAAAACAGCGATCCTTCATTTGCTGGGTGATTGATTCCTGACTCTGTGTTCCGAATGTGCGTGTTTGCCGAGCAGTCATCTGCCCGTGATATTGTGGGGTGTGATGGATGGCGCGGGAGATGGGGACCGGGCTTGCGCAGAGGCTGCAGAGTGGCTCTCTTGTTCCTTCATTCTGGGCTTAATGCCGCGGCCCTCGCTGCAAGACGGTCGGCGAGATTGAAGGGGAAAGGGGAATTTATACCTGGGGGCGGGGCGGCCCACCGTCCTGTTCCTCTCTTGCTGTCTATGCCTTCCTCACCCAGACCATGGAGCGGCATAAACTGCACGGAAACAGCCCTCACTCCCAGACAGGGCCGGAGATAAATCACCCTGCGTCCTCTGCCTGCAGCGGCACCCGGGGAGGGGCCCAACTTCTGCCCGGGTTTGCAAAGAGCCGGGCTGGAAGGTGGTGGGGGGATGTTTGCCCCCCAAACAGTTTGCTGTGTTTAGGGGAGTTGTGGGTCCCTGGCGGTCCTGGAGCTGGTGATGAACTAGGAAACACGACGTGGACCCCTTCTGGCTGCCAGGCGTGGCGTGTGGGCGGGCAGGCATCAGCGCAGGCACCTGCCGCGGCTCTGGCCTTGAACCTGTTACCCTTTTGACAGGTGCAAAACATGTCTCAATCCATAGAGGTCTTGGACAGGAGGACCCAGAGGGACTTGCAGTATGTTGAGAAAATGGAGAACCAGATGAAGGGACTGGAGTCCAAGTTCAAGCAGGTGGAGGAAAGTCACAAGCAACACCTTGCCAGGCAGTTCAAGGTATGTGTGCCTCCCTTCCCCTCCCTGCCCTCTCCTCTGTCCCCTCGTCTTCCTCCTTCCTCTTTCTCCTTTTACTTCCCCTCCCTCACATCCATCTCTTCCCACTCCTCTATTTCCTCCTGCTATTTTTCTTCATTGTCCTTTTTGTCCTCCTCCTCTTCCTCCTTTCTCTTATTCTTCCTCCTCCTCCTCCTCCTCGTCTTCCTCCTCCAAGGCTGGGCTTGTTTTCCCTTCCTGTTTCCCCTCTGCCCACACAAGTAGTGACTAGCAGGCAGGAGGGATTCAGAAAGAGCTGCTTTTGGCCTCACCAGGGCTGTTGTCCCTGGGAGTAGAGAGCCACCCACCCTGGCCCTGGTCTGGTAAAGGCACCTGGGGAGGGGTGTGCCTGGCACCGTCCAGCACCAACTGGCTCTGCTTTGGAAGCCAGGCTGAGGTCCTGTATCCTTCGTTCCTCCAGCCAAGTCACGTTAGCTGGGAAGGAACATCGTTTCGGCCCCTGTCATTCCACAGCTGCCGCAGGTAATCACATTAGCTGCGGATTAGCTTAATTGATTAGAGCAGTTTCCGAGCAGGGATCACTGAGGGCAGTCTTTCGCATCTGACCCAATTTGGCTATGACAAAGCATGCTGCAGACGCAGGGAGGAGGCCCGAGCTCGCTCAGCCCGTGGTCAGCATTAGGTGTGTCCAGGTCACTCTGGACACAGACTGCCGTCCCTTCAACCTGAGGTTCTGTATACCTGTCTGCGTGTACCAGCTGTGCACTGCTGTTAGGCTGAGAAACGATAAGCTGCCTTAATGAAGGTGCACATGCGTGTTAATTAGCAGTCGAGCCCTGATGTAAGTGAACAGGTCAAATTACACAGCCTTGTCCCGGGCTGCAGACTGCTGAAGTCCCTGTCTCTGTCTCCCTGTCCTTTTATGCTAATGTTTTCCTTTGATGTGCTGCCCGCATGAAGCAAGAACGAACCCTCCTTTAAAAGCGCACATTAGCTAGATGAACCAGCAAGCTAACGAGGTTGTAAATCTTTGTTTTAAGTAAAGGACTCCCAGGCTTGACCCTGTTGAGGTGAAATGCCCCAGCTTGCCCTTGTCTTGTGCAGGTGGACACTTTGTCCTTGTCTCCCGTGTGTCATTGTGAATTATCCCGAAGAGAGATTTTGCCCTTTGTAGCCCCAAAGTGTTTGTCTTTTGGTGAAGGCTGGCGCGCCACCCGGTGCCTGGCAGACCCCTCTAAAGGCAGGGTGTCTTCAGCAGGTGCCGAGTCTCTCACCTTTTTGGACATCATTCCCAGAGGCCTTGAGTTCCACGCTGTGGCTTTAGGGAAAGAAAAACAAGCCCTTGCCCTTTTACATTGCTTTTGTTGTGTTAAGAAATTCATGAAAGTTGCTGTGAGAGAATCTGCATTGTGTTTAAGTCAGTTTGTTTTGCTAGCATTAAAGTGTGATTTTTTTTCTTTAAAAAAAGAAGTGACCGTGCAAATATTTGTCTCTGTGTAAGGCAGGCTAGTGAGCTAGTTTTTCAACAGTGTTTCATTTTCTTGCTTGCAGGGCTAACTTAGAAAGCGTTTTTACAATGCCGCAGCGACTGAGGATGCAGTCTGCTCCCATGTAACCATGAAAGAGCCAGAGAGCTTTTTGCACCACGCATTTTTACTATTATTTTCCAATACTTAGCACCATATTGTTAAGGAACCTTGCACCCAACCAAGATCCTCCTTTGCATGCAACTCTAGCTGCATTTTCATGAATAGTCTGAACCCTTGTCAATGCGTTTTTTGAAAAAGAAAGAAAGAAAAAAAAAGAACTTTGTGTATGTGATTTAAAGCATGTAACCTTAAGATGTTGCACTCTCAACTGACAATAAAAACCTTTCCCAAATATGTTGGTGTTCTGAGGACTGTTTAATATGCTCTCCTAACTCCTTTGGACCAGAATAAATAAATGCATAACTAAAGCGGCAGCGTGCACACCTTCCCTCACGTAGGGAGACGCCAGGCCGAGGCAGGGTGTTACGAGTTCTTGCATGCACTGCACTGAACCCAGCTTATTTTAACCTTGCAGGCGATAAAAGCGAAAATGGATGAACTTAGGCCTTTGATCCCTGTGTTGGAAGAGTACAAGGCCGATGCCAAATTGGTATTGCAGTTTAAGGAGGAGGTCCAGAATCTGACGTCAGTGCTTAACGAACTGCAAGAGGAAATTGGCGCCTATGACTACGATGAACTGCAGAGCAGAGTGTCCAATCTTGAAGAAAGGCTCCGTGCGTGCATGCAAAAACTAGGTAGGCCCAGCACCCTGCGAGCGCGGCGCCGCACTACCTGTCTCCGCTCACGCACAGATTTAGCAGTGGTGCTGAACGGACAGCGCCGCCCGCGAGGCTTAGCGGTGGTGCTGAAGGGACAGCGCCCGCCTGGCTCAGGAGGGCTCCTGGGTAGGGCCACTGAGAGAGACAGCAGCCGAGGATCTTAGGCGGCAGTGCTACCGAGGAGGGCGTGCCCGTACCCAGGCCCTGTGCGGAGGCCAGCTCCAGACTCCCGCGCATTGCACATCAGGGTACTAGGTCCACCTACTGTCTGTCTGATGGAGGAGGCACGTGTGTGTGTGTGTGTGTGTGTGTGTGCGCGCTCATGCGCATGCGAGGGTGCGTGCATGGGTGTGCTTTGAGGACACTAGTTAAATGGGGCCGGCAACACATCTCCAGTCCCTCCAGGCTGAGAAGCCCTGGAGAGATGGAACTACGTAAAAAGGATTAAAGAGGAGGAGGATTCCCGCACACCACAGCAGGAGAGGTCCCTGTCCCCGCAGCAAGGGAGGCCGCTGGGCGACTAGGACCTGGGAGGAGTGGCTCGGGCGTCCCCTCCTGAGGTGGTGTGGCCTCACCCGCATACCCTCTTGCAGTTAGTGGCTTCCGCAGCTCGAGTGTGCCGTTGTTGGGGTCTACTCTAGCACATGTCCTATCCCAGTCCGTTTTTCCTGAAGATTAGCCAGCTTCCCCTACCAAGTGCTTTTCACACAAGGTGGTTCCTTTCATACCGTATGCTTTCCGGAGGGGCTTAGGGCCACCATCGAGGTAACAGTGCCTCGAGAAGAACTTTTCGGCCTCTGTTGCTCTGACCTGTTCCCCTTTCCCCCTTCCACTCCATGCCTTACGATAAAGCATCCGAAAGAGGACAGACTCCTTGAAAATCTCCAGGAGTTGTCAGGTGGATGAGAGAGGATATTTAATGGGGAGGAAACCGGACTCAGTTCTACTCCCAAGTGCTACTCTGGGCCTCCCCATGAGGCAGAAAGCTCCTGGTCCTGGGCAACAGCAAGGGGACACTGGCCGTGTCACCGAGACATCATCTACTGCACACCCCCTTAGCGACATGCCTCGTGGAGCCCGTGTCCCAGTGTGGCAGGGACCCAGGAGGGGTCTGGGCTGGACAGTCCCCATCAGCCCTTCCTGTGAAGGCACCCTGGGAGCTAGCTGAGTGTTTGGAGCATTAATCACCTCACAGATGTGTGCCCTGGGGATCGTGGACCCCCGTGATTCCCCCCGCTGTGTGTGTCTCTGGGTCCTGGCCTGCTCAGAGACTCCCAGGTAGCAGAAGGGCCATGTTTCAGAGCGTGCCGTTACTCATTGCCCCACAAGCAGTGTCCCCCGGTATACAGACTACGTATTCCTGGAGACATGAAGAGGAGGCCTGCACACCCTGCTGCCCAGGAGGCAGGGAGCAGGATGGGACGTGGCCGTGGGAGGTACTGTCCTCACTAATTTGAGTAGCTGAGTGAGCACTCCTTATGGCTTAGGATCTGGGGTCCTTCGCCTGGTTACCCTCAGGCTGCTGAAACCATTGATTCAGAGCAAAGAGCGAGAGCAGCGGGGTCCCACGGCTGTGAGCCACCCTAACACCCTGAGGCAGTGGCTGCAGGTGTCCCCGTGCTCTCACAGCACCCCGTCCGCCAGGGGCAGCCCTGACAGGCGATACGGAGACTCCTAAGTGCCACTCGATGATTGCTGGCCTCACCTGGGCATTTATCTTCTCAAGTTTCAGCTGCCTCCTTGTCTGTAGAGGAGGATACAGAGAGGGAGTCCCGGGCCCCGGGGGATGACAATACAGATTCTCGGCTGTCGCTCCTGTCACCATCTGGGCACATCTGGTGACAGAGTAGGTTGGTAAGAAGGTGGGTAGGCAGCAGGCAGATACGTGGAGGTGACAGGTGGTGGGTAGATGGACGGGCAGTGGACAACTGGATGGGTTAACAATTGGCAGAGCTGACGGAGAGAGAGATGATAGATGCAGTGACTGATGGGTAGATGGGTGACAGAGGTAGAGGACAGATGACTGATCGACAGCTGATAGATGCAGAGATAGATTTAGCAGCTGCTGCCCCTCCTCCTCATCTTCCCAGGATCTTATTCAGCTCAGTAATTTAAGGACCCAATCAACACCTCCTGTCTGCTTAGAGTCATTGCCGTAGCTTTGTAGCAGGCAGCTGCCTCTGGCCTGTCCTAACAGCCCACCCCCTTGCTCGGCAGTGGCCAGGGACATGGCTTCTGTGCCGTGGTGCCAGCACCCCCAGCCAGCCCTCCCAGGAGGTTGGGATTCTGCAGGTCGCCACAGCTCAGCAGCCGGCAGAGTCCATCCTTGTCCCCTTGCCTCCCTGGTCCCTTGGTGTGACAGCGCCTGTGGGTTCAAGGCCCGACTGTAGGTTCCTTGACTTGGGAGCAGGGCCTTGGTTTCCTTTCTGGGATAGCGGAGGGCTGGGTGTCCCTGTAGCCTTCAGAAGTCCTGGCTCGAGCTGTCCTTGGCATGGGCAATCCCTGACCCCAGAGCATACACAGAAACTAGCAAAACCAGGACCCAGGTCCCATTGCTGTCTGATCTCCTGTTTCCATGAGATTTCATGTTTTTCCCAATGGCCCAGCCAGAAACTTGTATCCCAACCTCTTACTTCTGGGCCTGGAGGTTGAGCCTGGCATCTCGTGGCCTCCTCTGGAAGGGAAGCCCTCTCTCAGAGTTCCGCTGCAGCACGTCTCGTCCCCAGGGAAGGGAGAGGCAGTATTGCCTGTGGCCTTCCTGGTCCCCCTGAGCTGGGGCCTGGGCTGTCCTCCCTGGGTGCTGCAGAGTCAGGTTGCAGCTGCTGGGCCGGGAGAAGCCAGAAGCCCAGCAACACGGTTGAGACCCAGCCGCCATGGCAGGCCTCTGCAGTCCTCTCTGCCCGAATCACACCATCCCCACATGCCTGCTGCTAGCTTCCTTAGAGTCTCCACTCCGGGAGGGTGGGGAGGTTACCTCTTAGCCAAGCCCAATGGACCCAGCTGCAGGGTCCTGCCTGCCCTGGGCAGTGGTGTCCTGTGCCCTGGTGAGGCCAAGGGAGGTCAGGTGTGATGCTGTTCCTGGCTTGGGCCCTACACTTTTCACTGGGAGCCGAGTCTGCAGGCTCCCCTGTTCCTGACACTGGAGAGTCCTGGAAGGGCAGCCAGACAGAGGCTGAACCTCGCCTCGTCCCGCTGGAGCCCTGGTTGGGGCTGGACCTTTAGGCCAAGGTCAGGGGACTTGTGTACTTGAGCCAGAATTGAGAGTTAATGGTGCCTTCCCCTGAGAAGGACCCCTAGGAGGTCAGGAAGGGTGGAGCCAACCTAACAAGTCACCCCTGGGCTGACTCAGGGGGACCCTGGTAGGACTGGGCCTTCCTCTGATTCCTTCCATGAAGTGCTGAGGCGTCTGCCAGATCACGTGGGGAGAGGAGAGCCCATGGTGGCCCTCTCAGTGGCCACTCGAGGCTCAGGGTTGGAGCCTGAGGCTTAGGTGTCACCTGCTTGTGTCATTTGAATCCTGGATGTTTGTCCAGCTCTACAAACTTCCGGCCTAACTCTTCTCAGGGTTACGAGGGTAAAGCTGAGAATAGAGGCCGGGACTCCATTGCTAGGGGCCAGCCAGTGCCCTCAGCTGTCTTCTGGGGCTTCCCAGGGTCCCTGTGGCCCTGCTGGAGCCCCGTGATGGCATTTATCCACGACCCTGTCCCCTGAGTGGTGTGGGTTGTTTTCTGAGTGGCTTTCTCCCAGAAACAGCAGATGCTGCTCCCATCCCAGGGCGTAGGTCTGTCTGTGCATCCGGCCTGGCCGGGGACCCCTCCTTTAAGACCACTCCCTGCTCTGCCTCCCCTGGGGTGGAGCCTGCAGCCCCCTTCCTGGGCTTCCTCTCCTGTCCTCCACCCCTCTCTGTGCTTGCTTGAGTGCGTGTGACCAGAGAGAGCCACTTGCTGAACTGGATGTGCCGAGACTCCGCCATGCTCTGCCATGGGCTGTTAGACCCTGTCAGTTCCCCAGGTCTTGGCAGATCCAGTCTGGACAGAGAACCAAAAATAACTCCTTGAGTCAGGGAGGGCGGGCAGCTCCAGTCCTGCGGGCTCTGGGAGCTGTGCCCATGGCCGGCTGCTAGGAGAGTGGTACACATGGCCAGGGTTGGCAGGCTGGCACGGTGGCCGTGTGTGTGTGTGTGTGTGTGTGTGTGTAAGGGCACAGAGGAGGAAGCACATTGTGCCTGTGTAACCTGGGAGGTCCAAGTGAGCGGGCAGTGGCAGCACTGACAGGCTGAAAACGAGGCCCTTTCTCGGCACTCAGCCTGAGCTCACACTGGCAGAGAGCTCTTGCTGTGCGGCTGGAATTGTTCTGCCCCTTTCCCCGCTCCCTGCCCTCAGAGGGGTTCTGGCTCTCTCCCTGTTCCTTGGTGGGAGTACCCTGCCTTGTCCCACTGTCCCTCTGCTGCTTCAGATAGGGAGTCACTCAGCCATTCCTCTTGGGGACAGGGGAGGGAGACCCAGGCCCTCGTGTTCCCCAAAGAAGTGTGTGGTGCCCCACGGGCCTCGGGGTGAATTTAGAAGAGGAGGCCCTGCAGGAGGAAGGCCAGGCAGGGACATGGGTATAGAGGCCGGAAGGGCTGGGCCAGGACCAGGCCCCTGAGTTGAGGTGGGGGGTCTACCTGCCACCTCCACCGTCTAAGTGTGACACATAGGACAGATGTGTGTCCCCTTCTGGTGGCCCTTCGTCCTGGAAGGGGTCTGCTCGGTGGATTTGAGACACAGCTTGAGTGTAAATCCAGTGTGGGAAGAAGCAGAGGCTCTGGCAGTGTGACCCACAGAGGCTGCTGGGTGGCAGCCAGCTGTGGTCACCTGAGGTCCCCGGACCAGACACCCTATGGTCAGTGGCTCCTCTGGACTTCAAAGCCACTTCCCTGGGTCAGGGTAGGAGGTCACTTCCTCTTCCTCCTCCCACAAGAAATTCACGGGGGCCATGGCCCTGTCTGAGTGGATGCTGGCCGAGGACAGGGCTGTCCATGGGACAAGGTGGGCCCCGTTGGCTTCTCCTGCTCCCTGGAAGCGGCTGTCCATCCCTGTCCTCCAGGTCCCCCCAGCAGCCCGGTAACCCTGGGGTCAGTAGGAGCAAAGGAGGAAGGAGCCAGGGCCTGGGGTGGTGTCCTGCTGGGTCCCACTTCCCCGGCCCTGTCCTCACCACTTAAACCCCACTCAGATCCCCAGAAGTCGGTCCAGGCTCTCACATAAAAGACTCTCCAGAGAGATTTCCAGGAACACAGCAGAGCTTTTCCTTCCAGTCCCTGCAGAACTGGTCACCTGGTCCCTGCTCCTCTGGGTCTCCTCCCAGGGCTCCGTCAGGGCAGAGCTGTGTGGCTAGAATTGAGGGCCCAGATGGGATCCCTCAAGCAAGTGGGACCGGGGACGGGAGAGTGGGGACTGTGCAGCGGGGATGGTGGTGGCCGAGGCACTGGCCCGAGACTTCGCTGGGACTCGGCACAGAGCCCGGCTTTCTTCTGCTCCTGGCGGCTGTTGATCCGGCCAAGGCTCCCGGCCAAGCCTCCCGCTGCCCAGATGCACTCTCCTGCCGACGCAGGGGCTCGGGGTTCCCTCTTCTTCCCAGCCTTGGCCGACGCTACAGTGGACATCCTCACCCTATTTTGTTTTCGGGGACAGCTGGGGGGCACCCCGAGACAGCAAGGTGGTGTCCCAGCATGGCCGTGGCCCACTGTGCCCTCCTGGGGCTGAACTGCGCTCCTCGTCCTGGGGATTATCCTGGCTTCCCCTGGTCCCTGGGTTAAGTCACCGACAATCTTTTGTAAGCCCCGGATCTGCTCTGAACTTTGCAGACGCCTGTGTACATATGTTAACTCGGGGCTGCAGGGGAGGGAAAGAAGCTGTGTAGTGGCCATGCAGGGAGCCACCCAGGCCGTGCTCAGGAACGCTCCGCCCTTCTGAGACACACCGGCAGGGGTGGGTTCCGGCGCAGCTGTGTGGCTGCAGCGGCAAGGGTGGCGTTTCTGTAGGGGGCGGGCAGCTGAGTGAGGAGTGCCCGGCCCAGCCCTGGCACTGCCTGAGTGACGGGTGGCCTGGGCGCTCTGGTGATGTTGCTAGCCCCCCTCTGTGAGGTGCAAGGGCTCTGAGATCAAGCTGAGGACCCTTCAAGTCCCGCGCTCAAAGCCTAGACATTACCCCAGCATGATGGCGGCGTGTGTCTCTAATCCCAGCTACTCTGGAGGCTGGAGCGGGAACATTGCAAGTTTGAGGTCAGCCTGAGCAGAGTAGTAAGACCCCACTGGGCATCCCCAGCAGCTCTACCAGGAGCGGCTGTTGCTGTCCTTATTTCTCAGAGATGAAAACTGGCTGCGCTAGGCTGACCCTGCCCGGGGTGCAGCTCCTTGTCCAGTCACCAGACCCGTGAGGTCAGCTGCTCCGTCTCCTCCCTGCCTGTCACAGCCTCCATTGCTCTGTGGTGGGGACCCTGAGAACCAGGACAGGAGCAGCTCCTCAGCACACCCGAGGGTGCAGGGCCTCCTGGTGGGTGGGCCAAGGCCGCCCTGTGCCCAGTCCTGACCCCTGTGTGCTCTCTTCCAGCCTGTGGCAAGCTGACGGGCATAAGTGACCCGGTGACCATCAAGACTTCCGGCTCAAGGTTCGGGTCCTGGATGACGGACCCTCTGGCCCCAGAAGGTGACAACAGGGTAAGCAGCCCCTTGTGTTGGACATCAGCGCTCCCGTGGCACCTGGCAGGACTGGTCTCAGCACCCACCCCAACATCGGTGTATCCCGGGCCGGGCTGGTACTGAGCCCCTTTGTCCTAGGAAAGCCGCAGCCAGTCACTGCCTCTGCTGCAGGGAGAGAATCCATTAGGCCTTTCTTGTTTTAATGACATCTCATTTGTATTTCATTTGCCATTACTTTCATGGCTGATAGAAGCTGGTGTTCCTTTTTGATTTCGGGAAGAGGCTCCAGTCCTCTTTTCCTTGGCATTTCCCCTGGGGTCAAACCTCCAAAAAGCAGAGCCCCCACCCAGGCTCTGCTGTCCTGTTGTCCTCGGGCCTGCATTGCAGCGAGAGCTCTCTGGGAACACAGAGAGGGTGGCTGCTGGGGGTGGAGGCCCGATCTGGACAACACTAAACACCTCTGGGTCCGGAGAAGGAGGGGACTTTGAAACTCCAGATCCTGAGCTTTATCTGGGGTGTCTGTAATGGAGAACGCTGGCGGAGGTCCCTTTCTAGGGATGGATAGGCGTGGCTGTCTCCTCCTGCAGGAAGCTGGGCAGGTGTTCTGGGCGCCTCACAAACACTTCTGTGTTTATCTGACAGAGTCCGCATTGCTCCCGGACCCTGCCGGGGAGCTCTAGACAGCTGGGGTAAGGAGCGCAGGGCTAGGGTTCGCTATTCCTTCCGTCCTATTTCCTGAATCCTGATGGCAGGTGCTTGGAAGTTTTCTAACAACGTCCCTGGCTGTGACTCTGGCTGTTTTTTCTTTTGCACACCATCCGGAAAACCCACCTCTCCTGGGGTTGGGTCAGGAAGGAGCACCTCTTGCTGCAGGCGTCGGTGAAAATGTTGCTAAAACAGGAATAAAATCAAACAGTGTAGCCGGTGCTTAGAAAGCACGGCCTGTGTGCCCAGCACTGTTCTGAGCACTTGGCGTGCAGGTACTCCACGCAGAGATGCAGCCACCCCTGTGGGTCCCAAGGACCGTGTGTGCCCCCCGGCCTGGGGATGCTGTTCTTCCCAGGCTGATGGAAACGGTGTTCTTACCACCTGCAGAAGGGTCTCACGCTGGGCCCGAGTCTCAGCAGGCTGGTCATTGAGTCTCCGAGCCTCCCGATTCCACTCCAGGGGCCTCTGTCCCCTCTACCTGTGCTTTTACCCACCCCAGGGCACAGAGCAAGGGACCCAACAGCAGGAGCTCTGTGCTTCCTGCTGAGAGGGCCCAGATCCCAAAGTCTGACCACGTCCAGCGCCGCACGTGCCCCGGCCCTGAGGCTGTCAGCTCCTCATCCTAGGGGCACTGGTCAAATGGTTGCTTTTCCAGCTACCGAGAAGCCAGTGCCGCGGAAGCTGAGGCTGTCGGCTTTGCGTGATACCTCAAGGATACAGGCCGGCACAGCTGTCAAGGCGCCTGTGGGTGCTTTTGAGAATTAGACATCCATTTTCCACTCTGTGACTCTGTTGCCCTCAGGAGAGGGGTGTTGGTGGCAGGCAGAGTGCCAACAGAGGGACCTGCAGGGGAAGGGAGCCTGTGAGGGAGCTGGCAGCAGGGCGGGGGGTGCTGGGCTGGTGGTGACAGGCGGCATGGGGTGCTTGCTCCAGGCTCTTTAGGCTCTGGGCCGTGCACTCCTCAAAGTGGCCTTCGTCTCCCAGCCTGCTAGATGACACGTCACCCAGTCCTGCCATCAGTCCGGACCAGCAGCGTTTTGTTTTGTGTTGGCCTTTTGCAATCTCCTATCCAGTTTTGATCACACACATGCAGGAGACCAATAACTTGGCCAAAAAAAGCAAGCAGTCGATATTGGCCTTGGTGCAGGGCAGCATGGAGGGCATGGCCAGGGCGGGAGGAGCGAACTGCTGCACTGCCTGCGCAGGGATAGAAGGGCCAGGCTGCTCGTCCCTCAGGTCCTGCTGGGCCTGGTGCTGAGCCAAGCCCGTAGCAGGGGGAGCTTGGGACACGCTTGCACCTGTCCTGCCTCCATCCTTTCATTCAGCAGGGCTGAGCCTGCTGTCTGCGCTTTCCACCGGACGTGTGGGCCGCCCCTGCCTGGCTGTGACTCTGGCCCAGGAGACTGCATGGGCTCCAGGGATCCAGTTCCTGGCTCCAGCCGCAGGCCTCCTTCCTAGTGCCGGCCTCTCAGCATCAGCAGTTCCAGCAGGGGGACACAGAGAAGCAGCAGGGCCCGAGTCACTGAGAGCCCTATAAATACCATGGCCATGCAGCCCCCCTGCCCTCCGCAAGTTGCCTAAAGAGGGGCTGGATTCCTGCAGGGACGAGGACAAGCCCGTCCCCTCAGCCCTGCCCTGGCTGGCCCTCTTTTCTTAAAGGCAGCTGAAAATGAGACAATCAGGCAAGTCAGTGTTGTCACTCAGTGTGACCATACGGGCCTGCACTGTGGTGGGGAGGCCCAGTTTCTCCCGGGAAACAGCGCTGGGTGCCTTGTCTCTCAGAATGGCAGCTGCAGGCGGAACCAGGACGCTAACCGTGGCTCCACGTAGGGGAGGGCATTGGATGGGGACTTAGGTCCAGCCCAGCAAGGAGACATCAGTCATCTCGGGCCCAGGCAGCCAGTGCTGCGGACTGAGCAGGGAGGCTGCTGTCAGGGGCCCCTGGGGACACATGGCTGTGACTTGCTGCACTGGGGTTCAGAGACACCCCTCCAGCTGCCCTTTGGGAGTCCTGGTCCTCCCCTGCCTCTGCTGGGCCAGTGGACATAACTGGGGATACCAGAGGTGTCTGTCACCAGGGAGTCCCTGCCTGGGGTCCCAGGGCACTCTGGCCTGGAGCCCGAGCTCTGAGGTTTGGAACCATCAGAACTTGAGCCTAGGTATCTCTGCCACCTGCTCCTGCTGTGAACTTGGGGCTTCCTTAGCTGTCTGCAGGGAGATAGGGGGATGCAGAGAGGCCTGGAAGAGGCTGTGGGTGCTGGGTTCTGAGAGGGGTGGCTACAGAGTCACTGTTCCCCATCTATGCCCTGGTGGCCTCACTTATGGAGCAGGGTGAGGGTAGCCTCTGGAATCTGGTAGAAATGACCTGTTTTAGGGACCAGGGTGTCACAGCCCAGGGAAGCCATGGTGGCTGTGTGGTCACTGACAGGTGGATGTACCTGGTAAGGAACAGACAGAGTGGGTGGCAGCCACCACTGGGCAGGTAACCCCAAAGAAAAGCACCCTGCTCTCTGGGCCTCCCCCACATCCTAGGGCCTGTGTGGCCATAGAGGAGGGGTCAGGGCCTGTCTGTTGCTGGTGTCCCGGGCTGACCCCAGGCTGAGCACCATGTGCCCGGGTGACCCCTCCCTGGGGCTGAGCACACAGACTGTCTCCCCAAGACTGCCAGGGCCACGAGGGCCAGGGGTGCCCATCTCCCTCTCTGCCGCCTGCCCTGCCAGGATTGTGACAAAGCTTCCCTAGCCCTGGTCCCCCAAACTCCAAGATGGGACTGCTGGCCTGCTCCCAGGGTGGCTGATGCTTGGGAATGCACAGCTTGGGCTGTGATAGGGGACCTCGGCTCGGTCTTTTAGGGGAACAGTGAGCAGAAGAAATGGTGGACCAAGGGAGGTCACGGTGGGGACAGTGCCAGGCCTTGCAGCTGTAGCTCCTGACCTTTGGGACCAACCTGGTGGGGCGTCCCGGGCCTTGCAGCATGGATAGGATCTCCTCTGTCCGGCAGTGTTGACCATGATGATCCAGACTCCCCAGACATGGCCCGTAGGTTGTGGTTTCGGGCACAAGCTTAGCGTCAGCCCTGCTCTATCCTCAGCAGAGTTGCCAAAGCTCCCTGACCTCAGTGTTCTGGTCTGCAAATGGGGCAGAACCAGCTCTGCTGGTGCACGGGCTCGCATGAGAACCGAAAGCAAGAGGGGAAGCTGGCACCCAGTACCATGACCGCCCTGAACAGAGGTACCTGATGACCAGGCATCCTGATGTTGATCTCTGCCTGGGACCTGGAGCTGGGCACCTTTGAGGGTCCTAGAAAGAACCATGGGTCCTTCCAGAAATCCCTGAAATCCAGTGCTATGTGGAGCCGCCTCCCTGGAGACACAGCAGCATGGATGAATCTAATGGAGCCTGGGGCCTTGTGAGGGGGCACAAGGGCCTTTCCAGTGAGGAGTTCAGGGGTAGGGGACATCGCCTAGGAAAGCAGCTCCTGCTCCCCAGGCCCCTGGGGTCTGCCGAGGTGGCTGCATGCTGTGCAGAGCAGCTCCTGACGGTGACAGGCATGGTGGCACAATGCCTACACCATGGAAACTGGCAGCCCTCCCAGGCGCCCACGTGACTGTCCCTTCTGCCCCCAGCTGTTTGCAGATGGCCTTGGGTCCTGGGTCTGATCTCCCAGCAGACAGAGGAAAGGCCACTGGAGAACTCACTAGAAGTCGGATACTGATGTCACCGGGTGCTGGACCCTGCGGGTTCAGGGACGTGTCACTGGCTCTCTGCTGTCACAGGGAGGCTGTGTGAGGACACCCCCGGAAGCATCCTCCCTGCAGAGAGGGGGAGCAGTGGCTCTGGTGAGGGGGGGCGCTCCAGGGAACCATGCTGGAGCTAAGCCAGGAGGAAGTAGTGAGCTTCCTGTCCCCAGACAGAACCCAGTGGGGGCCGGGAGGGTGGCAGGGGAGCAACTTTCAGGCCGTTTGGTCAAGGGGGCTGTGCGCATGGCCCTGGTGCCCGGACACCCCTCCCGATGCTAATCCCATCATGGAGGGCTGGCCGTTCTGCGGGAGGCAAAGGATAATTGACAGCCTCCAATGAGCCGGGTTTTAAAAAGTCTCATTAAAAGCAGAAAGCACATCTGCCCGGGAGCGTGTGAACGGATGTCTCAGAACAAGGTTATTTTTTTTTTTTAATTTTAACGCATGTGTCGTGCGAAGTCTGAAAGCGCCTGCGTCCTTAATCTCTCCTGCAGCCACCAAGCTCTTGATGGATAAAGCAGCTGTCTTATTGCCAGACAGATGCACGCAGAGCGGCATTAGCCTGGCGGATCCCCGTCTGCTAACTGCATTGCTTTCTCATTTGCTCCCTCATTGGTGGAAAACGACTAAAGCATTTTGTCCAAAGTCTAGACAATTCCCAAGTCCACTGGTGTCGGAGCAGCAGCAGGGCCTCTTCCACAGTGGCCCAGACGGGGTTGTTCCCAGGCTGGTCATGGGGTCATGGGGTTGATTTCCACAGCCGGTGCTGTCTCACGCTCTGCTCCTCGGAGAAGCGCTATCCCTGGGTCAGGCGCACCCCTGCCCATGAGGTGCTCAGCCTCCCCGGGCCAGTAAAGGTGGTTCAGCCGGCCGGTGCCACAGCAGATCTGGCACGGTGGAAAGGCCTCGACGGTGCCTCGTCGGCTCCAGGCACTGGCCCGCCTCCTCGACCTTGAGAGTCGCTTGTCACACACACGAGAGCCGCCCGGGCTCCGGCAGTGAGCAAGCAGGTGTGACCACGGCCTCACAGCCTGGCAGGGCCCGGGCCTGACAGTGTTCAGTTCTGCACCGATGTGAGTCGCATGGGGCTGCTGCAGCTTGTGTGTGACATGAGGCTGCAGGGCCCAGGTGTCCTGTCCCACACCGGCTGCCCCTGGTGTCCTTCCCCATCCTGCAGAGTTGTTCTCTGGTGAGGATGTCGCCCTGTCCCTTCTGCAGAGTTCTGTGGTTTGGGAGGAAGGACGGGACACACCCTTTAGTCATTTTATGTTTCTTTTATTTTGCTTTTTGTTTTTTGTTTTTGTTTTGAGCCAGGGTCTCGCTGCGTGTTTCAGGCTGGCCTTGAACTCACTGTGTAGCTCAGACTGGCCTTGAACTTGCAGCCACGCTCCTGCCCCAGCCTCCTGAGTGCTGGGATTCCAGTCCCGTGTTGCCAGGCCTGGCCCTTTGGTCCTAAAGCTGCCTTCCTGGTCCTTCTGAGTCCCGCCTCTTGCCAATTCCGGTGGGGGGGTGCGGGAGCCTGAGGAGCCCGCCTGGCCTGCCGGAAGCACTCACTGGCCCGTGTCTCCGCAGGTCTGGTACATGGACGGCTATCACAACAACCGCTTCGTCCGCGAGTACAAGTCCATGGCGGACTTCATGAACACAGACAACTTCACCTCGCACCGCCTGCCGCACCCCTGGTCGGGCACCGGGCAGGTGGTCTACAACGGCTCCATCTACTTCAACAAGTTTCAGAGCCACATCATCATCAGGTTCGACCTGAGGACTGAGGCCATCCTCAAGACGCGCAGCCTGGACTATGCCGGCTATAACAACATGTACCACTACGCCTGGGGCGGCCACTCGGACATCGACCTCATGGTGGATGAGAACGGGCTCTGGGCCGTCTACGCCACCAACCAGAATGCCGGCAACATCGTGATCAGCAAGCTGGACCCCGTCTCGCTGCAGATCCTGCAGACCTGGAACACCAGCTACCCCAAGCGCAGTGCCGGCGAGGCCTTCATCATCTGCGGGACGCTGTACGTCACCAACGGCTACTCGGGCGGCACCAAGGTCCACTACGCCTACCAGACCAACGCCTCCACCTACGAGTACATCGACATCCCCTTCCAGAACAAATACTCCCACATCTCCATGTTGGACTACAACCCCAAGGACCGCGCGCTGTACGCCTGGAACAACGGCCACCAGACCCTCTACAACGTCACCCTCTTCCACGTCATCCGCTCCGACGAGTTGTAGTTCCTCCCCGGAAGCCGGGGCTCCGAGGCCTCCCCTCCAAGGGCCCCTTCCCCGGAAACAGCTGTCGAAACCCTACTGAGAATACTAACAATACTAATTTTGAAAAGGAAAAAAAAAAATCTCATCAGCAACGATTCTGCCGCCGAGGGTCGCATCACCTCCTCCACGGGCCTCCCACTCAGCTGGCGGGCGACAGATTTCGGAAGAAACCCCCCTGTTTGCAGCTGGAACTGCAGCCCGAGCCCGCATTCCCGCCCCGTCCCACCCCAGTCCAGGAACCCACTTCAGCAGCAAGGCAATGACTGTTGGCCACTCCCGCCCGAGGGCAGCCGCTCGCAGGATCGCATGGACATTCCCTCAGGCCGTGGGCAGCGCGATGGGCCTGACGCTCCGTCCCCGATTCCCGCCCGCCCAGGCGGTCTCTGCGTTGGCCAGCGAGCTCACCTCTGGTGCAGCTGCGTTTCCTGACTGTGTTGTCGTCTCTTAGAGTCACTGTGTCGAGGCTGCCAGTAGCCGTTGGACCCGTGTCTAGTGCTCCCTGAAGCGACGGTGGCGTGGTAAGCCACGTTGTTCGGACTCGCATACCCCGTAGATATTTCGTGCAGTGTCTGTCTGTGCTCTCCTTGAGGTGGTAACTTCGTGTGTCTCGTGTATGCGATGGGTGTTGTTAATGCGATGTCGTAGTTTGGATCGATAAGTGGATGGTTCTTGTTTCCAAAAAGAAATCAGTGTTCACCCTTCTGGAGACCTAGTCGAGTTCATGTGGGTAACGACCGGAGGGATCCTCCTCTTCCCGTTCAGTTCTCTGGATCGCGTCACTGCGGAGGCGAAGGGCTTGTCTCAGGAAACCCCGGTTTCCCATGGGAAGGAAAGCCACGGAAAGCTCACTTTTAGATTTAAAAAAAAAAAAAAAAGAGGGAAACTTTGTACTATCCAGTTATCTAAGGAACAATAAAAACATTAGGAGATGTTTTTGCCTCTTGTCATTTCTGAGGGTTTTTTTTTTTTTTGAATAATTTTTATTTGTTTGTTTTTGGTACCAGGGATCAAACGCGGGTCCTTGCGCTCGTGAGGCAGGCGGCAGCTCTGAGGGTTTTAGACATGACAGTGACCCCCAGGTCCCCGCAGATGTGTTCCAAACACGAGTGGCCCTTCCAGGCGAGGACGAAGGGCTTGGGACAGGATCGTGACGTGTTCCCCACTTCCCAACCCCCTCCCCGATGGCCAGAACCTATGGTCAGCTCAGGCTTCCCTCCCCTTATGGAATCTGAGGTGCCGACCCAGAGGTCCCCACTCCTTTTGCCCCTCCGAGGGCATAACTAGGAAGGACCTGGGGAGAGGTGCCCCAGCAAAGACTCCAAGAGTGCCGGGGAGGCAGACCCCACCTCTGGATGGTCACTCCCTGAGAGGCCGGCCCTCCTCACTGTCCCTGGGCAGTGCCGGGCAGCCAGCCTGTGGGCAGTGTCCCTGTGGGACAGGACTTTTTGGAATGCCCTGGGAGAAACAGTCCTCCCCACATGAGAGGACGCTCCTGGTCCCAGCGTGGGGCAGTGGGCAGAGCTGCCCGAGGGTCCCCTTTGGTACGCTGTGAAGTGGACTGTGAGAGTGGCCTCTCACCACAGGTCACCTGGGCAGCAGCTGGGAGCACACGGGCGAAGCGTAGGATGAAGGTGGCCTCAGAGCTCTGGGAGGGTAGGAGGGGGTCCGGGAGCCTCTGGAGGTGAGCTGGGAGCCGGGTGGGCGGGGCCTCTTGCACATGCCGCATAGCCATTGGCCCCTCTTGGGGCCGCAGTCTGGTCCGCGGGTCCCTTTCTCAGTGGGTTGCGCTGGTGATGCTGCCGACTGTGACCAGTCCAGGCCAGTGGTGGCACCTGTTGCCGCAACGGGCTGTTTGCTATCATTGACAGCTCTAAAATGTTCGCCGTCACTGGCCTACACCTTCGCTGCAGACCTTCTCTCAGCCCGCCCAGCCTGCCCCCTGAGATGTCCCCAGACTCCTGCTGTCCTTCCCCGGCCTCTTCGCAGCTCAATGCTGGGTGGCCCAGAAGCTTCTCTCAAGGGAGGACTCCCACCCAGGGTACTCTTTAGTACTGGGGCAAAGGCTTGTTTCCCAAATAGGTGCTTCTCCAAACGTGAGCCAAGAGCAACCCTTCCTTGCTTTCTGGTCTTTGCACAAACTGCTCCACTGGATGGTGACAGTAGGGACGGAGAGGGGGTTGGGTGGGAAGCTAACCCTTAATTACAGCCTCATTAGCTGAAGGGCTCCTGAGCAGGGCAGCCCCATGCCCCTCCGCAGGGCCAGCATCCAATTAATCCCAGAAGTGGGATGCAGTCTCTTCTTTTCATGTTTACAAACGACTTCGGAGAAAGATGGCACCATTAATCCCCTGGGACAGAGGAGCTGGTTATGAATATGAAAGCCGGAGTTTTAATAAAGCTGTAACTCGGCTGGTCGGACCAGGCCACTCTCCTTCTGGGGTGATGAAGTCCTGTCCATGCACATCTGGGGGGCCAGCGCTGTAATTATGGCGGGAATTATGGGCTGATTTCTGTGTCATGTCCCCTTAATGACAGAGGAAAACTCAAGTGTACCTTTACCTCTTCCACCAGGCCCTTCCAGGAGACAAAGTAACGGCCCGGTAGGCTCAGCATAGATTTGCTGTCACAGACAGAATTTGCTAGGGAAAATATTCTGCCAGAAGATTAAATACACAAGAAAAACAGTTCCATCCAGAAAGCAATAAAACAACTGCCTGCCACTGAGTCTCCCTTATTCTAATAACGGGCTATATTGGCTGATGGAGGAAACATCTGTGGATGAATTTTCTTTATTAAAACTTTGGCCTGGAATCAAAGCCTGGCAGTTCTTGGGGGTAGTCTGAGATCCCAGCGAGAGATAGCAGTTCCTGGGCCCTAGACCTGGCTGATTCTGCAGGGTTCCCTCCCCAAAAGGAGGCTTGGGACAGGGACCCTGGCATGCATGGAGCTCCCCGTGTGTCCCAGGTGACAGCTGGTTCAGCATGAGTGGAGGGAGTGGCCTGGCCAGCTCCTCCAGCAAGCCAGACACAGCCACTGGCTGCAAGTGTGTCCCTAGGGCCCTTGGAAGTGTAGGTGCAGGACCAGGCATGTAGGGCAGCCACAGGAGCTAAGTGGGCCATTCTGGTGGCAACGTCTGCTGTGAATACACTGGTATCTTTTGTCCTTTTTTGTGTCTATTCCCTCTCTGTACTTTCCTCCCTGTCTTTAGGAGCTCTTTCTATGAGGAAAGTGAGGCTTTATGATTCCGTGCTGTACCCTGTGGGTACTGTCTGACCGGCTAGTCATCTCTTAATTCTGATAATGATAGCTTTATTATTATTATTATTATTATTTTATTATTATTCAACTGTAGTAAAAATTATCAGCTATTCATTTCATGCCCTTGCTTCTGAGCTGCAATCAGGCCCGTCTTCTTGTCTGGGCTTATAAGGAATTTGCCCGCGTTTTCTTCTGGGGCTTGTGAGAGCCCCTGTGGTGTTGACACCACCCGGGCCAGCTTTATCTTTTTCCAAAGGCTGCCCATTTGTCCTGGTTATTCAGAGGACCAGGTTTCCCCGCTGAATTCCACATCCCTGGGTTGATTTCTGCACCCTCCTCTCGTGGAGTCTGTGTTTGACGATGCTGTTCTTGGAAATTCCATTCCCAGGGTTTCAGTCCATTTGCACAGATGGGCCAGGGCTGTGAATATTCAAGGTCCCTGTGACTTAAGTACGCCATTGTTGTTCAGAACGATCCTTAGGAAGCTCATGTACAGTGGTGGCTAACCCCTGTAATCATCCGGAAATCTTAGCCCGGAGTGTTTCTGGAATCTGAGCAGGATTTCTTCCTTCCTCAGCCCTGCCTGGCTGGAGAGACTACAGTGGCTTCGGCGGGCTCCGGCTGTCCCTGTGCCCCTCCCTCCCTGAAGCAGGGGTCTGCGGCTCTGTCCCAGAGACCAACCTTCAGCCAGACGCCACGCTGAGCGGGCCTGCACTGTCCCCGCGTCACAGGAGCGTCACAGGAAGCCCAACAGCAGCCAGCGCCTGGCTGACAGGTGGAGGGTGGCTCAAGGCATGCACGGTGTCCTCGATGTCCTGGCTGGTGAGCCAGGGCACAGCAGGCAGCGTGAGGTGTCAGAGCCGTGTGCGCTGAGCACCTGGCTTGGCCTCCAGCCCTGGGCATGAGTCACAGTGGCTGGGCAAAGCTCTGGCCAGCGGGACCACCTGCTCCCGCCTCCACCTTCCAGGAAGGGGCCGGCAGGTGGGCAGGGACAGTGCTCCTCTGTGTACCCTGTTGTTGGCGGGTCGTGACTGTCCTCGGTCCTTGGCATCTTGAGTGAAGTCGAGTGGGACACACAGAAGTAGAGGGAAAGGAAGGGTTCATTAAGAAGAACTCACGGCCCCGGCAAAGCCAGGTATCGGGGCCTTGGTGTGGCTACCACAGGGAGGGAGAGGCTCTTTGGACCGGTGCAGGGATTCACTCCAATCAGGGACAAGTCTCCTCCTGTCTGTTGGAAGGTGAGTTTCTGTCCCTTTGAGGGTCCTTTGGGAGCTGTCATGCACCCACAGCCCGTGGACATGGTCAAAGCCAAAGCCAGTGAAAAGGTGGTAACTGAGTTGGGGTCGCCTGCGGTTGTCTGGGGTATCCCATCGCCCTTGTGTCCCCACGCGTGGTGTTGGCGTAGTTCTTGGAGGCAGGGCTCCTGTGGTTTCTAGAAAGCTCATCTTGGCCCCTCCAGATGCCCATGGCCCACGGACCCTGTTGTCCTTCCTCGTGTACAGTCCAGGTGCCAGTACCGGGCACACTGTGGCTTTGGAGAGCTGGGTGCTTCCAGGAATTTCTCTTCTCTACTTCCTGTCTCACTGGGCCCTGCTGCCCTCTCACAGGCTCACACACACAGCCACGTGCACACATGCACATGAACATGCACACACACACAAGCATTGAGCGTGTTCCCCACACCGACCAGGAGGTGAACAGCCGTGGGTCCACAAGATGGCCCTGGAGCCCTCCACCCTCCCCAGGCTCAGTGGCCTCCCACCCACCCAGCCCCGGCCTTCCTTCTGCCCCCCACCTTGCTCTGGCCTCAGTTTCCCCATCCAGCATGAGGGTTAGCAACGCTGGCCTCTGGAAGCTTGCATTAGAGGAGCTGTCGGTGGGACTGAGAGGTGCCCTGAGGGAAGCCACCCTGGCTGCAGGCCTGGCCTTCCTGTCCCTCCTGGCCCAGCTCACACCTCCCTCTCTGGCAGGGATCTTGCAGCCTGGGCTCAGCAGGTAGAGGCGCCACGCCCAGTGGGACCAGTTAACACCTGTACAGTCAGTGTAGCCAGTTAGCTGTGACCCGAGGTGGGACCTGGTCCCCTGACACCAGCCTGGGGCGCTTGTCGGAGAAAATGATGCCGGGCCACACAGCTGTGCTGCGATTGGCCTCAGAGTCCCTTGGGTCTGCAGCTTCCTTCCCTCAGGGCTGATTTGCTTTCTTCCTGGGCGCGGGCTGAGGAAGGATTGGAGGACACAGGGCTCCCGCTCTGCTGCTGAGGCCGGCAGCAGTAATTTCCTTATTGATCTTTTCTTTCCTGCTAAGAGCTGGAAAATAAGGTCGCCGGGAGCAATGTTGGTGCAGCTGTTCCGTCAGTGGCTGCTTCTGTGCCGCTGAGTGAGTTCTCGGGTGACCCCTGGAGGACACTGCCCCTGCCCTGAGGACATAACCGCTGCCCTTTTCTCCTCAGCTCAGATCCAGGGATGCCTGCCCCTCAATCTGCACCCCTTGTCCTTTTCAGTTGGCAGTGTCAGGCCCTCAGGGAGAGGACGCTGTGCTCCGGGGGCTCTCGGTCCACACGGCCCAGAGATGTCCGGGGTCTTCATGTCCTGGCTTCGAGCCCAGCAGCTCATTTTGCCATAAAAAATTCAATCAAATGCTGGGCAATTTCGGGCCCTTAAACAGTCCCATAGAGACAGGCTGCGAGGGGTCTGCATGTCTGACCCCTCCCTCGGGCTTGCGGCCTCCTCTGGCCCGCTCCTGCTTGGTTCTCAGGGAGCTAGTTCCAAAGGCAGCAGGAAGAGCGCCCTCCGGAGGGGACACCAGGCGGGGGCTGAAGGCCAGCGGGGCCCCTGCTCTCCACTGCCCGGCTGAGCCCAGTGCACTCCCCGCCTGCCCATGAGTCCTCAGGAGCCATCTGTAAGGCCGGGCTTGGCAGCCCTGAGGGGCCCACGGAGCAAGACTCGGGCACAGGGTGGAGGTGCAGGGGCCCTGGCTCGTGGCTGTGAGATGAGGGCCGGGGGCTGGTGCTGCTCGCAGGCTCTGTCACCTGCTGTGCCCCTGACTCGGCCTGGGGCAGCCAGGTGGATGCCCCCGACCCCTCTCAGCAGCCCCCCGGGGTGTAAATTTGTGTCCCCAGCACCTTCTCCCTCTGAGTTTTCCCATCGTTATCAGGCGGGCTGCGAGTGGCGAGAGCTGAGTGGGGGTAATTTCCCTGCCCAGCTCAGAGAAACACGGGCCCCACCCGACCATCTGTTCCTGCTCAGCGCCAGCTCTGTTTTCCATACATCAGCAGAGCAGGAGAAAGCTCCAGGCGCCCCGCCCACCCGGCTTGGCCGCCACTCCCACGGTGACATTTCCGCCCCCTCTCAGTCAGCAGAATATGATTTTATCGATGGGCGACCCCAGGCTTGTCGATTTCCTACATGAGGGAGAGCATGCATTTTCCTGTCTCTTTTCTTAAACAAGTCGTAAAATGGATTGTATGTCCAAAAGAGCGACATAAAACACTGGCCAGCGCGAGCTTCGCGGAATCTGCTGACTTTATAAATCAGGGTGATGAGTTCGGAGAATCCTCCCTCTCCCTATCTGCACAGAGAATGGTTGGCTTCCAATCCGGGGAAAGTCAGCCCAAACATCCCAAAGCTGCTGCACTAAGGATGGTGTCCCTGGGTGGGACAGAGGCCAAGGACACAGCCCCAGTTGGAGGGAGCATTCGCACATCTGGAGAATCAGCATGGCCTGGTACTGGCCTTCCAACTTCTGTCCCACCTTGCTCCTGATGCCTGTCACTTCTGGGCCACCTGTGTTGAGCAGCTTGAGAAAGAGCCCCCCCCCCAGGTTCTGTGGCCTCACTTTGGCAACTGTGACCCTGACCCCAGCTTGGAGAGCAGGCCGAATTTTTCCTGATATTGTAGATGAAAATCAACATCTCCTTTCTCCTCCAGTGCTTCGCAGGGACCAACACTGCCCCATCTTTGGGCCTCCCTTGTCTCCCCAGAAAGGGAAGGCTCCACCCACATCCCATTGGCCAGACTAGTCATGTGACCCCAGCCCAGAGCAGGGCAGTCTGGGAGATGTGGTTTCCTGGCAACAGGGGAAGCAGGAAACTGGAGTGAAAGGTTCTGTCTTTGCTATCTTTGTTTTTTAAAAAAAGTGTATCTCTGTGGACCTCTTAGGCCACACCCAGGAAATCTGGCTTTGGCTTCAGAGAGACTAGCATGCAAAGGCCTTGCCCTTTCTGAGCTGGAGTCCGCGTTACCCAAATGCAGAGGTTCCGGGGATTTGCGAAGCTGTGAAGATGGGAGGGGAACCAGACCAAGCACCTGGCCCAGGGCAGAGCCCATAGCCTGTGTGGCAAGTGTGTGGCCTTGCTTGTCTCCTCTCCGAATTCCTTCCTGACCAGCGGAGTGACACTTTAGTCAGCAGTGTGAAGTAGGTGCTAGCTAGACACACATCTGTCCAGAGAGGACCATCACTGGCTGGAGAGGCCCTGGCCAGCCCTCAACAGAAGGATCAGCTGGTGGCTGGGGTCCCCGATCCCAGACCCAGGCTGGGGCTATAGCTCTGGAGTCCTCACAGCTGAGAGCTGTTCTGTCCCCACAAAGTGAGTGTCCCTGTCCTGGGGTCTCAGGGCTCTGTTTCTCCTGCAACCAGGTGGTCACAAGTGTGGGTCATTGGCCAAAGATATCGGCGCAGGTTGCTGTCCCCATGAACTTCTTATCTTGGTGTCCCTGGTCAGGAAGGGGGACACGATCCTGTAAGTTCAGGGCCAATCAGCCTTGTTTTGCCAGCTTTTAGACAGACATCCTCAAATGACTATGTACCCAAATGAGTGCCAAGAAGGGATTTGATCCTACGTTTTATAAAGTATCAAAGGACGTGCAACACAAGCCAAGCTTTCTTAGCTACTTATTGGGCATCTGCAGTTCTAAATAGAGTCCGGAGCCAGCCATGGTGGTGCATGCCTATAATCCCAGCACTTGAGAGGCTGAGGCAGGAGGATCACTGTGAGTTTGAGACCCGCCTGGGCTACATAGTGAGTTCCAGGTCAGTCTCAACTACATAGTGAGACCCTGTCTCAAAAAAAAAAAAAAAAAAAAGGGTTTTTTTTGTAGTCTTTTTCTGTTTTTTTGAAACAGTCTCACTAGGTAGTTCAGGCTGGCCTTGAACTCACAACGCTCCTCCTGACTCAGCCTCCCGAGTGCTGGGCTTACAGGAAAATGCTACCATCCCGGACTTCAGTCACACTTTTTTAGTAAAAGTCACTCTTAGGTCCCCAACCATCCCATAAGAAAACACAATCATACTTTTAATGAGTTGCAGGTCAGGGCCCAGGAGCTGGCAGGTCCCCCCACCCTGTAGGGTTCTCTCACTCCCTCGTGCCCACTGTGCTGCAGGGCCTGGCTGGAGCGACCACGTCCTCACCTGAGACCAGCTGCCTTCCTGTCACCGTCAGGTCTGCCTTCACACCTGTTTTAAGGAGCACCTGAGGTTGCTGAGCTTCGGGCAGTGGAGCTGAGAGTGGAGCTGGGCCAGGGCCCAGGGGTCCCGCACAGGGCACTGAGCAGGCTCCTGCCTTTCTCAGGAGTCTGGCAGTGCGGGCACTGCTTGCCATGGCCTGCGTGGGAGCATCTGGCTGTATGATTTAGCTGCCCAGTGATAGCAAGAGAAGCGGAAGTAATCACCTGTGTTGACACGGAATTCAGCCCACGTCCATTTACGTTGTATGGCAGCAGTGACAGAGCTGTGCTCCGGTTCACAGGTGCTGGCAGGTGTGCCCACCTCAGGGTGCAGCTGCTGGTGCCACCATGGCCCGGCTGCTCCTCGGCAAGGTGGGGCTGGGGCGAAGGGACAGCGCGGTCCCCGCCCTTCAGGTGGTGGTGAGGTGAGTGCACGCTGGATGGAGGTTAGTGACTGAAGGAAGAGGCGGGCAGTAGGGTCAGGGCCAGACCAGAATAGCAGCCCCACCTTGGAGGGGTCGGGTCCTCCTCCCTAGCATCTGTGAGTTCGTCGCCGTACACGTCCGAGGGACTGCGATGAGGCTAAATCAGGGATCTGAAGGCTCATCAGCCAGAAGTGGTGGTGTACGCTGTGATTCCAGCACTCGGGACACTGAGGCAGGAGGATTCCTGGGTGTTCAAGGCCAGCCTGGGCTAGAGTGAGTTCAAGGCCAGTTTGAACTACACAGTGAGACCCTGTCTCAAAACAAAACAGGGCCTGGGATTTAGCGTAGCGGTTCCGCTGCCTGCCTGGCAAGCACAAGGTCCCAAATTCGATCCCCGGTACCAGAAACAACAAACAAAACAAAAAAGCAATGGGGCAGTTATGTGGGGTAACAGGGGCAGAGGCCCACTGTGATTGTTTGCACCTTCCTAAGAGGAGTCGGAGGAGGGATCAGATAGAGGAGGGGACAGGTGCGGAGGTCGGGGCCTGAAGATGCCGGGCTAGAGACAGAGGCGGGCGAAGAGGGACGGAATTGCTCCCCGGGGCCCCTGAGGAGCTGCTGCCCCAGCAGGCGGGCGAAGAGGGACGGAAAAGCGCCCCGGGGCCCCTGAGGAGCTGCTGCCCCTCGGGTTGTTTCACAGCTGGACCCAGGAGCACGCAGAGAACGGTGCATGTGTGCAGCCCCAGCTCTGGGCTCCGTCCCGCTGGAGCCGTGGCCTCCTGCACGTGGCAGGGGAAGAGGAAGGGTTTTCACGGGGGATGGCTGGAGGCCCCCTCCTGGCCCAGCAGACCCTGCAGGTGCAGCGGGTGACACTCACTTTCTAGTCAGAGACCCGAGTGACAGGTAGCAGTTGGGCCACCAGGCCTCGGAGCCCCTCCACCCCTGGGTCCTGCGCATGCTGTCCTCACAGGGCCGGGCTTCTCACTAAGATCATGGGGGCACTCTGCCTCCAGCCCCCAGCCCAGGTAGCCAGGGGAGGGAGCCTCTGGCCTTGGACCCCGCCCAAGGCTGGTGAAGCAGGGGCCACAGGGGAAGAGGTGCAGCCATCACCCCAGTCTCCCTGGACAGCTGGGGGAGCCTAGGCAGATCAATAGTGGGACAATGACCTTGTTTTTTACCTTTTATTCACTGAGGACCGAGGCTCCCACTGGGGGCACCAATGTGTGTGTGTAGGGGGTGAGGCAGGGGCCTTGGGCCATCAGTGACCTGCTTGGGGGTGGGGACTCTAGGGACAGGGACTCCCAGGGGCTGAGGGAGCCAGAAGCCTAGGTGATCTCTGAATCCCGTTCTCATCTCCCCGCGGATCAGACTCAGAGACACCTGGGGGATGAGTGACAAATATAGAGCAGCCTGTGAGGTGCTGAGTCACGCACTGCTGTTTGGAAAACAGAGAGCTAATTGCGTTATCATCCCAGGGAGGAGGCAGCAGTGGAAAAAACCACCTGAGGCTTGGAGTGGCTCGGGGAAGTGGAAAGAGAGTCGCTCAAGGAGACACAGCAGCCGGGCGCCTGGCGCAGGCACCCCTCCCACTACGGCCCTGAGGAGGAGCCTGTCTTGAGGGGAACCCTGGGGTGCGGGGATCCCGGGGAAGTCAAGACCCTCGGTGCCTCTGTCTCCAGCCTTGGGTCTGTGGTCTCTGAGGGACCGAGGCAGTGGTCCAAAATAGTGTCTGTTGCCTGGTAAGTGAAGAAAACATCTATGTTTAATACCTTTATAGTCATTCGCTAGGGCTCAGACCTACAACGTACCCGCAGAGCACAATGGCCTTTGAAGGTCACACGTTATGCTCAATCCTGACCCCCCCCACCCCTGCACCCGGCCCTCTGGTTCCCCACAGGGGTGCACAGCATTCCCATTTATAGCCCGTGACATCAGGGAAGGGCTTTGTTCTTTAAAGACCTTCCTGCCTGGGACCTGGGTTAAATGAAGAGCTTGCCTGTCTTTCAAAAGTTCCTTGCAGGATTGAAGCCCTAAGGAAATGCCGACCCTCTAAAAAGGACAAGAAGACATTTTGCAACATTAGAGAAACTTCTAAGTGACATGCTGATGATACACACCATAATCATCCCAGGTCCCCAAACCCCAGGAGTAACTCTGTGTGCATGAACAGATATCCAGACTCTCAGGCCTTCGGGATGCCTTCACCACCCATCCTGGTGAAGGCGCGAGTCCCTCCAAGTCTACTTTATGGTAAATTCTCCCTAGACTTCTGCGCGGCCGCCTGTGTGTCTTGATTGAATTCTTTTATTGAGGCCACAGGAGGACTGGGGACCAGGGACCGAGGAAGTGAGGGCTAGTTGCACCATGAGTGAGGACCTGGCTTCCTGGTGACAGTCCCTTCCCTGTCCCTCAGACAGCCCAGACAGGGGCACACACAGAGCTGGGAGTGTTACGGCGGTGATGGACTTTAGTGATGCGTGTGGACACCTGGCAGGGTGTGTTCTTCTCCCCGGCTCCTCCTGCTCTCTCCACTTCCTGGAGGCAGCAGTGTGAGCAGCGTCCTCTTCCCGGCCCGTCCGCCGTGCTGTTTCTGCCTTGGAGCCAACTGACCATGGACTGAACCTGCCGAAACCGAGAGCCAGACCAACCTTGTCTCCTTCAAAGTGTGCACGTTGGGGACTTTGTCCCAGCAACGAGAAAGTGACTGAGATATCCAGACAAGTCCCAAGGCCTCACACATGGCACCCCCATGCCGGCTGGTCCACTGCCACCACCAAGTCCAGCCGCTCAGACCGGCTCCAATTCCTTATGGCCCCTCTTTCCCGCATGTGACACCCACTCGGCACTAAGTGGGGAGGACACAACTTCCAGGTCTGTCTGCGTCCTTCCATCATCGTCCCTAATCACCTCCATTTTCTGCACCAAAGCAAAGACCACCAATGCTAAGGACCCCTGCCCCTCCTGCTGCACCTTGAAATGCATGCTCCATAGTAGATAAATGTGCACAGCGGGCTTCCTCCTGTTTTCCTCCTCCCAGAGTTCCAGGCAGCTTCCTGGGGGCCCCTGGGGCTCCTTAGCCACTCGCACAGGCCTCAGGGCTTGTAACACCCTCCTCCGGTCCTCCTTGCATTAGGAGGGAGACAATGTCCTGGGCCCTATACCCCATCACCTCCCACTCTGCCCTATTTGCCTCCTGCTGGGGCAGACGCCATCCTCCAGGCTGAACTCATCCCAGACCTTTCTCTCCCACTCCCTGGAAGTCTTGTTGAGCCCCAGACCCAGCTTGTGGCTCCCAGGCCAATTATTTCAGCCTAAAAGCCAGAGACGCTGCAAACACGCACAGAGACGGAACGTAAAAGTGGTCTCCCAGGCCCGGCCCTGCTCCAGCAGCCTCTTCTCTCACTGTCGGGGCCTCTGGGCTCGGGGCAGCATCTGGGGACACTTGCAGTTTGTAGATACAGCTGTGCTGGTTTCCTGGGCCTGCTGGGAGCAGCCATCACAAACATAGCATCTTGAAACAGCACTTTATTTTCATGGTTAAATCAAGACAGGAAGCCAGAAGTCTGTGATCATGGTGTTGCGGGCCACGTCCCGCAAGCGTTCTTCCTGCCTCACCAGCTCCCCGGCTCTGATGACTGCTCTTTGGCTCGCAGCCCATCCTCTCTGTCACAGGGCTTTGGTACCAATTACCAGAGTGGAAGACAATCTCCTCTCAAGCTCCTTGACTTTATTACATCTGCAAAGGTCAGCCTGAAGGATGACTTCCTGTGCTGTGTGTCCGCGGGCCTCTTCCACCACAGAAACTGCGCGCTGGCCTTGGGACCCTGAGGTAAACTGGTGCCCAGAAGTGGGAATCCTCCTGCCTCTGCCCGCTTCCTCTGGGCTGGGGTTCATTTTAGCAAGGGGCTGCTCTCAAGGAGTCTGACGGGGAGAGTTCATGGTAGCAGCCTGGGGTGCACTTGGATGTGATTCATTATTATTTTACAGAAGTTGAAAAGAGGGGAGGAGGAGGTGACGGGTGACCCACTTCTGTGGCTGAAGCCCCGTCAGGCTAGGACACCATGGCAACCAAGCACAAGGCTTCATTAACCTGGCCCAGGGCAGCAGGGCAGTTGGGAGCTTGCACGGGTGGCTTAGAGGAGACGGAGCTGCTGCTGTGTCCCGGGACCTGTCCCCACCGCCCTGCTGAGGAGGAGACTGGGAGCCGGGCAGCAGCCGGGCTGAGCCTGGCTGCCTCTCTTTCCGTGGGCCCAGTGGCTGCTGCCTGGGGCTCACTGTGGACCTAGGGACATCTTCTGCGGGGCCCCTGGCCGCCAGGCCCATTCAGGCTGGGAGGGAAGGAACCCACCCACGCATGCTGAGCCCTGCCCCAGCTCGGTCCCTTCCACACCTGAGGTACTGCAGGAGGCCCAGGGCTAGGATCGCAAGGACAGCTGATGTCTACCTGGGGACAGTCCAGCGGGCTGGGTCCCGGGACTGGGTTGTCACTGTTTCCCTGGAGTCCTAGTAGAAGGTGGGGCAGGGGACCCAAGTCAGGTGAGGGCCCCGTGCCCTGGCTTTCACCTCTCAGGGTTTCACTGCCCTGGGGCCTTGGCAGAGGTGGCTGTGAACACGAGGCGATGGCTCACATGGGCCAAGTGTGGGCTGCAGGGCCTCGGTGGGACACCGGTATGGAGGGTGGAGTCCCACTCAGGGTGAGGCCTGGATGCCTGGG